ATATTTTGTCATCTTTTTTTGAGAGAAGTCTCACTTATTTATTTGTCTTTATCAAGTTCATGTCCTTAATAATATGTATCAAAAAACTTAGAATTTGCCAATATTATTTGACTTGTTCTTCTCTATTCAAGTCTTTGTTCTTAATGTCTTTCAAATAATCGATCGTTGCATTGTGGGGATAGAGAGAGTTTATCTTAAGAAAGTGTTGGACTTCTGGCTGCCACTAAATACTCAATCAAGTCAAAGATATAAAAATTACCAATTTTATATATATAATATATTCCTTTTTAGAGAAATTACATCAAAATATAAGCCAAGTATCAAGAAAACACCCAAATATATGATAAAGTATCTTAAAACCTTATATATCCTTATGAGAAATGTTTCCTAAACTTCAACAGCTAATATAACATGATCAGACCTTCCAAATAATTCTAAATTCTACATGAAGTACTAATATACTTTCAAAAACTACTACAAAAATATTCAACTGCAAATTCATTACGGATCTTGAGATATCACCAAAATCCTAACAATAGCTTTAAATCCTAGCTTACATACACATGTACACTAATTTCTTCATATCTCATAAAATAAATACTCAAATACCATGAAATTTTAATTTATATCTTTTTAACTTAATAACTCACATTTCTAAAAATTTTGAGCCAAAAATTCATCCAGAAATTTAAGATATGGCTCCAATCATTACTATCAATAAAATGACTCACTTATTGCCTTTGAATTATACGTGTTGTCTTCAATGCCCTATAACCCCTTCATTCAGACTTAAAATTCATCAAAAAATATATGTAAAATGTAGTTAAGAAAGTATCTTCTCTAATTCTAGTTACTGATCTTTTATTGCTCTCTGTATGCATATGTTATGCTTCAAAGAATGACAGTAGGTACAAATTTGATACCTTCACTTTGAACACCTATATCTCCTTCAAAAAAAACTTGAAATCACACAAATTCTTCATCCAAAATATACCCAAAACCCTGAACTTGCTGATCCTAGCCTCTAAAGCTTGAATGACTTCGAAAGAGAAATCCTAATTCCTAATAAGACCTCGGGTAGTCTCCTTGAAGCCCATTGGACATGGCCTTAGACCAATAAGAATGAAGTTCTCCATTCGTTACCTTCATCCAACCATGCCTTGCTTTCATCCCTCCCAATAAGCCTCTTAATAGTTTAAACTTTCATCTTTAGACTCCAACCTTCCCTTAAGTTTTATACTAAATATCTAAATCATACATAATATAAACACTATAATCAAAATAGATACATCTCCAAAATAATTTTCTTATATCAATTCTCTTTAAATTTATTTACTAACCACTTTAATCTACATCAAGACTTACAAACATATTATATGTCTTAATTAATTTTTACATACTATAAGCAATTATAGTATGACAGCGTGCAATGGCTTGAGTAATAAATTATTCCAAAGATTTAATTTTCAGCATTGTTAATAACAAATTTTTGATACCATCCTTTAATCCATATCAAAATTGATTGATGAGTGCTTTGTCATTTCAGTCCACATCACAAGTAAGGTTTTGGAATTGAGTAGCATATGTGGTGGTTGATCGTGATCTTTGTCGTAAAGATGAGAGTTTGGTCTTTGCTACTTGTTCTCGATCACTTTCTCCAAATGTTGCTGTAAACATTTCTAAGAATGAATTCAAATCATTAAGGAGTTACAAATCTTTTTCCATTAAAGATGCAAACCAAGAGAGAGGACTTCTTCATAGAAGTGCGCCTTTGAATCCAACTTGAGTAAATCCATCAGAATATTGAAAATGGTGCAACTTTAGATAGAGCTTGATTTGTTGCAAAAATCCTCAAAATTTTGATCTTCTCCTATTAAACTTCTCAGGCATACTAATCCTTGTTCCCATCATACTTATAGAAGAAAAACTCTCTGGATTTGGTTGTGAGGTCGATGTACTTGCTTCCTTCAATTGTACAACTTCTTGCTGTAGACTCTGAACTTCTTTCATAGGTGTAGATATAGTACTTCCATGATTCATGTTAGAAATACATGAGATTTCTACTCTAAGAGTATTGACAAGCTCATGAAGATTTGCAATAGTTACAAATCTATTCTCACTTCCACTAGGTGTAGCGTCTATAATCTTTTCTTCCATATGCAAGTCAAACAAATCCAAAAAGTTAAATTAAAGGAGAGTAATCTGCAACCTCTATTAAAAAATTTCACAAAGAGGGATAATCAACTTTCTTTAAGAAAAGATCAATGTTAAAAAATAAGATTTTTTTGTTTAAAAGGTGGGTAGTCCGCAATCGTCAAAACACAACAATAAAAATGAGGTAATCCACTCACTTCTAAAATAAGACAAAAATAGTATGTTAGTACTCTTGTCAAATTATCAAGGACATGAATCTCAAAGAAAGAGAATCCTCGATACACTCTTGTGTTACTAAAGAGAACTAGAAAGTCACTCAAAGGGTAATGTAATATTAACTAGAATATCTATTACCAAAAACAAGTAGATTAGAAAGTCTTGAAATAAGACTAAGGACTAGAATGATGTTGACAAGAGTGAAGAAGGCTTCACTCTTGCCTCCATATTTATTCTTAACTAAGAGCTACATGGTGATGTTTTGTACGACCTCCAAAACATGTTGACTTTGTTGGCCACATGTCTTAACTTGCACGACAAGTTATTTGTATATGCGCCACATGATTAACTTGTTCCATAAGCTATTATGTGGAGTTAACTTGTTCCATAAGCTACTAACATGTGATTAACTTGTTGGCCAAGTTTCTGACCTACAAACACATCTAAAGCCAAAATTGCATCTATGAAGCTTCACTAAAAGATTTATGAAATTAATCTATATTTACCTACTTCTACCTAATCATATAAATAATTATTGAAGTAATTGTATATGTCCATGACAATATCCTATTACTTCACAATGTCTTATTTATGGACTTACAAAGTACATAAAAGCGTTTTATGTAGGAAGGTATCAATATCACTTCTTAATTTTTTATACGTTCTTATTGATTATGTACATTTACACCATATTGTGCTACAATATTTTCATTTCAGCTTATCTGCAATTTAATATTTCTTTAATAATGTAGAGTAATTTGACCAAGGCATATGAAAATTTGAAAACTTCGTCTATTATGATACAAAGATCTTTAATTACAACTTTGCAAATATGTAAACTCAAGAAAAATGTGTGATGCACTTGAGCATTCGGTTGGAGTTGATCAATTCTCAGAAGAGAATGGACATGTTCTCAGTAACGCATCTTGAACCTTGCCCACTGAAAATTAGTACTGGGTCTTTCGGGGATAATTTACCAAGGCAAGCAGATTTCGGTTGACATACCGCACCCTTGCGTGCCTGTATCTAAGGTACAAAACAAACTTTAGGTCACTGTTGGGTTGCGTGGGTTTGTTCAAAATCTCCCTGAGTATTATGTATGTCGAACACAGGCAAGATTCAAGTGAATACAGTAAATTACCAGATTCAATTGTGATTAGTTGCATAAATCTTTGGGGCACAAGTGATTATGACAAACCGAATGTCTGAGAAGCTACTATCAGATTTCATCCAGTAATAGGGATGTTGTCAGCGAAACTTCCAGGTTTCGTATTCGCCCCCCATGAATCAGGCAAACCATACAGGTAAGACTGGGATTAAGAGAGGCACAACGCACAGGGAGTGATTTAGGCGTCAGATAGGAGCGAAAGACTAATTTCTGTAATTCATCAAAGCCCCAGTGAGGCTCATTTGAACTATGCATACGCATCACCCGCCGTCATCACTGTTCAGTATTGGACACATGAGGCCAGTCATTCCAGTCTCAGATCGTCCTAGTCTAAATTGAAATTCATCACATTGATTCAGTAAACCATAATGTTTTTGGTCATCATAGACTGGAAACCGAAATCCATAAAACCCTAACCAGACGGAAAACCCTCGGATTCAGTCACCATACCCTCGAAGAAGGGGTTCATTCCAGAATGAGACCGACTGAATCGTTACAGGTTCCAGAGTGAAAAATCTCAGTATCCTGAATATCCTCAGGTGGCAAAGCCACTCAGTTATATGCTTGTCAACATTTTGACATCATCGACTTCTCAGAAAAAATCTCGGCTGAAAACCCGAAGAAACATGTACACACTTGATATTACGACAGGACACGCAGCATTAAACCAAACACCAAGAAACAGCAGCCCGCTGCTCACAACAGGATAAACCCTAAGTCCCCACTAAAGTGGCTATGCTTAACAGCGCCGCCACACTGGACCCCGATACGGAACCTGTGCCGCTTCAAGAATTTGCAGACAGCAAGGGAAGTGAAGACATTCACTGTACCTTAACCGCCTCCGCAAGGAAACAACAAAGACTTCAAACGCACGGTGTGTTCAACCCCATAGCCCGACAAGTCAGGCTGAGACTCCACAACCTGCTGCAGACTCAATAAGACTCGACTTGACTCAACTCGGCTTGGTGAAGTTGAGCTACCTCTCCACTGCTTCTTATACACGGTGGCGGAGATTGGCACCCTTAACCGAATGAACTTCATCATCTAAAACTGACGATTCATCCATGACGTTCATCCTCAAGTAGGGAAGGGTTAATTCACGGGAAAGGTAAACGGGAGGGAGTAGAAGTGGAGGAGGGATCATGACGAATGTAGCCCAGACCGTAAACGTGCTGAAATAGCGAGAGGGGTGGGGATGAACACGTGGCGTAGGCGCGGAGGAAGGGAAGCCTTCCGGGTTCCCGTGGAAGTTGCGTTGCGTTCCCATCAAGGCACGCGGTTCGAGAAAAAGGAAACGTGGAGTTCATCCATAAAATGCATGCACTCAGGCATCATCTGTTCATCCATCACCTGGCGTCAGTGCAGCGGCGAAGGCTGGCGGGGCGGGGCTTCATCCAAATTGCAAGGATGGCGCGAACCCGCCCGCCGTGGTGGCGGGGTGGAGACGGACACATTTTTGTTTATTTCTGTCTGACTCGGGGGATGATGAGCATTCTCCGGCGGCGTGACTCGTATTTCTTACTCATCCTTCCTCTTGTTGTTGTTCAAATTCTGCTCTCTCTCCATCTCCGATGATCATCCTCTCTTCTTCCCCTCCCTCCCTCCTCTTTCCCTTTGCTTTGCTTTGTTCTCCTCACGTTCCTCCGCGCCATCCTCATAGTCTCCTCCCTTCCGCTGTTCCTTCCTTCCTTTTCCCTTCCGGTTCCGCCCTTGTACAGTTTGTTTCGTCTCACTTTTCCTTACTTCTCTGTGTGGTTGTATTTGTTTCGTAGCCGTTGGTTTACCTCTTCTTCCAGCGCTGAATTTTCTCTACTTGTTGTGAGTTCATTTTTATTTTTATTTTTATCTTTTTCATCTTCAGTTTTTTGGTTTTTAAATTTTGTAAGTATTGGATTGCAACCACCGGTTTGCGGTGCTTCTGTAGGGTTGGGCATTGGTTTCGTTTGGACTGGTGTCTCGGTCCTGTAAGAAAGATCAGTTCAGGTTTATGTGAACGTGTGTGTATAACCGAAGCTGCGTTCCGAATTTTTAGTCGCGCGTTCCGTGATTGATTGATATCCTTTGTCTACCAGGGGATCAGAAAGTGCATCTCCTCCTTTGTGTTTATGTTTTTGTCCTTCTCCCGTTTGGTGGAAACGCCACTTGACTATCTTGGCATTGGCGCTGTCGACTATACAACTACCTTGCCCTAAAGGTAGTTAATTACCGATTTGGCCTCCAGTTTTGTGGGGTACTAGACCTAACTTCTCAGTTCCCGTTATGATATGTTCTCGTTTTACTCTGTTGTTGTTGCTCCCCTCTTTTCCCGTAGCGTGGGTTGGTTTGTTCAACGCTCCCATGTTGGTAATTATGACACTAACTTGCTCTATATTTAAAATAAGTAAAAAATGCAATACAATCGCATTAAACGTAGATAATCATTTCGATCTATTATGACATGGCTGAATTGTGCTCTGCAAGGTCATAGTATGCATACATTTTCAGCATTCTCGAGAATTTCTGTATAAGTATCTGTTCGAGTGTTTGGAGTATCTGGTAGATGGGTTTCATGATTTCGAGGCCCTTCCTGGTAGATTGTGATTGCAGCCTTGACACACGACACGGTAGAGTTCTCTGCTGTTCTATCACGGATTTGTAGTACTCGATTTCTAGTGTATGCTGAGTCGCCCTTCGCATGTTGGCACAGTTTATCTTTTCCGACACGAACGGGAGACGTTGATAGAGACTCATACGTGTACATCGATGAAGTTTTCTCATGGCACTATAGAAATTTGGATCATCGCTTTCAAACTTGTCGCTACGTTGTTTCTTTGTGTGATAGGGTCAGCATGCACAGGAGTGGAGGTCGAAAGTCTTAGGTCAAATTGAGAGAGGTTACGGTCAGTCGGGCAGTGAGAAGCTCATGGTTGAAATGATGTGCTCTTCTGACGTGGAGTGTGTGTTTCTGTGGTACAGAGAAGCATTGCTGTCTTCGTTTGTGTGTCAATAACACCTAGCAAATATCTGGGATGGCCGTTGCGGCTCTCGCTCTGTACTCGTCGTGGCGCAAGTCAATCCCAAGCCGTCTGTTTGTGACCTCGGTGGACGCCCAAACAGTATCCGCACGTAACCCGAACCGCAGGCGCAACAGGCAAAAATTAGTGAAAAACACTCAAGAGGTAGGTGAGGAGTCTAATTTGCAACCTCAGCGCGGCCGCCGACCTTCGCGGAAGAAGTGGAGCGAGAAGAGGATGGACTCTGAATTCGACATGGTAATCGTCCCCCCAGATGGAATTTCAGTGTCGGGCTCGGACACGGACGACTCCGACTGGTCGATTGGCTGGTTCGAGCCTCACAGCAAAAAATTTACCGATGACGAGGAGGACAGCTTTGCCGTTCTGATGCCATGCTATGGCTCTCCGACCCCCCCAGATACCAACTCAAGGAAGGCCTTCACTCCCAATGAACAATCGAAGCCACCTGTGTGGTCTACCATGTTCTCCAGGCAATCCAGCATTGGTGAGCAATGAAACCCCTTTTTCTTTTGTCTCCCTCACTCCTGGTCGAGTAATGGGTTGGATCGGATGGCTTGTTTCTGTAGATAACGTTGGCAATACCACAATCAAGAGAAAGGTTTGTGTCATGTATTTGTTTCACGTGGTGATGGAAACTTTTGATGAAATTGTGTTTGTAATCATTCGTAACAGAACGATGGACGCAAGAAACGTTTTGGGACTACGTTTCTTTGCTTTTTTGCATCACCCCAGGGATTAATTTCATGCATTGGTACAATCTCAAAGTCTAGATGGGTGGTGAAAATTTCTCATTCTGAGAATGTGTTTCGAGAGGTGCTGCAGAGTAATGTGAGAACTTAACAATTTTGTTTTAGTGGAGCTCATTCGTGTTCATCTTGGAAGTGGTCATCACTCTCACACCCCCACAATTGTTAGCAATCATGTCTGACTAACGAGTCACGTAGCTGCCGCCTAGATTCTAGGAGTTAGTTCACTCCTTCACTCTTGCTGTGGTACACGGGGTGTGAAAGAGTGTACTTGCCAAAACAATATATATATATATACATATATTGCATTGGCGTTTTTATAGCTTGTTTTATGTTATCTGACACTGCGTCGTTATTCAGTTTTCTCGTTCAAATACTAACCTACTGCATCTCCGGCAATCGCAGATCATAAGAAACGCCTTGAGCGATGGTTGTCAGGAATCTGAAACTGGATCACCACTTAAAGCGGCAAATATCAACTGTTCCTGAAAATGCCAATGGAGGTACATTATAATTTATGAAAGCTTCAAGTGAGCTGTGAATGCAAAAACCCAAAGAATGGCGAAGAACATTGTGAAATATTGGCAACTGGCAACTGCGATAGGACCGGAAGTTTCTTTTGTAGCCACCGCTGGAAGGAGTGCGATGACCTATGGCCATCACTCACAGCGAGTGCTCAGATTCATTGATCAATTTTCTTTCGAAAGGTTGCAGATTTGTACATAGTGACACCAAGGTTGGTAAAGACTTTTAAAAAAGCAAAACATGACAAACGCCCCCAAAAAGAACAAGGGAGCTTTTCCTGGCTGTACCGAAGAATAACCTCCCTCAACGTAGGCTCCACAACATGTTCAAATGAGGCAGCAATTGGATGGTCGTCTTCGAAGGTTTACAGTCTCGGCATGTGATTCAGCTTTCGGCAGTGAGCTTCAAGAAGTGTAAGGCTCCATCATTTTTTGTGCCGAAAAGAACTTGTACGTATCCATTTTGACATTTGGTCGAATCTGTATTATAACAAAGCACACAAAACTAAGGGAATTATATTTATATTCACATTTATATAAATATCTGTACATATCTACAGTATCATCCTCATTTTTTCATCAGCCCATATTCTTACGAGGTAGCGTTGCAGGCTCGTGTCCATTTTGTATTCCTTCAGTTATTTTAATAAAGACTTAGATTTCTCAATCCCAGATGAAATCAAATAGACATTTTAGACCTTGCATAACGAAGTCTAATGGAATCAGCACAGTGTTCTACTAATCTCCAAGATAGTCTCAAAGATTATGAGTTGGATATATGTGAAAACACATTTGAGCAACTTCTAGAATGTTATGAAGAGGAAAGAAGATAAATACATCAAGTATTTTTTTCTGGAATAAAACAGATACACCATGAACACTTTGGTTTAGCATCATTGGGAATTTGTGCAGCATTCATTATTCATGAGCACAATTAATCCTCTTTATTATGGCTAAAACAATTTCACTTTTGTTGTTGCATGATATGGCAATTATATCACCTAAATCAACTTTCTGCAAGTGTAAAGTCAGTTTCAAAGACTTTGTTTAATATGTGTACTTCACAACGTAAACAGTTGTAAAAAAGTGGTGATTGTAATTATGGTCTTCATTATAAATCGGCATCGTTTGATCGCAAACATGCTGATTTATTAGTCTCTCCCTAATACGTGCTTATGCACCACTACCTGTCTCAAATTTATCATTAATAGTTTTAATTTCCATATTACATTTAAAATATCTTCAAACATTTCTAATTTCAATACCACTTTTTTTAGTTGTACTACTTGTGAATAAAGTGTGTATTGAAAAATCTAAAAAATCAGTTTTTTATTGTTATTTACAATTACATTTAAATCATAATAAGCTTCAAATGTATATATCAAAGCTAATATAATCTTAGTAAACAAGTCAAAAAGTATATCTACATGCATTATTAAGTTATATTTGTTACTTCCTTTTTCTTTTGCTAATTATATGAAAAAGGAAGGTATCTTATGCCATCAGTTGACGCAAATAGATACAAACTTTGCCTGTGTTACTGTTCTGACTTCAGTGTCAAAAATTTTAAACATTATGTTTAATACGTGCTTTGAAATAATTGTTTCTAGAGAAAATACACCTTGTGAGTTAATGATGAAAGATTAACAACAACGAAAGAAACGTAGGTTTTAAAAACGATGTGTAAGTCGAGTAGGTTATATATTTGCGCATACTCGGAGATCGCGCATATTCTTAGGTTTGAAGTGTCGAATTGCATGAACAGAGCCAGGATATTTTTGAACAAATCTCACACAAGTTAGAAGTAAACTTCAACATTTCTCATCAGAATGATACTATTTTGAAACCAAGGGAAAAGAAAAAGATAAAAGATAAAATCAAAAGCAAAAGTTACTGGATGGACGGGAAAAACATTCGCCTAGAGGGTGATTCCGCTGCGGAACAGAATCTGCGCCGCCCGGGCAGGGTGGGGTTGCGGAACCCGTCTCTACCCGGCCCGGCCCGGCCTGGCCCTTGGGGAGGGGTTTTGGGGGGGGGGGGGGGGGGATCGATGTGGAAGCCATGGGAGACTCGCTCTTGCGGGCTGAAGAGCAGCGGCGGCTGCGAGGGGGAGCTCTTTCTCGCCTGCGCGCTTTGTGTGTGATGCTGCTGCGAGCTGCGGCTGCTGCCCTGCTGCGTTTCTTCTTGCCTTCATCCGGCTTCGTCCCCTTTCTCGGCTGCAGCCATGAAGACCATTCTGTCTACCCAGACTATGGACCTTCCCGAGGGAGTCAAGGTCGAAATTAAGGCCAAGCAGATTAGGGTTTCGGGTCCTCGCGGTACGCTCACTCGTAACTTCAAGCACCTGAACCTCGACTTCCAGCTGCAGGAGGGCGGCCGTAAGCTTCAGGTCGATGCTTGGTTTGGCACCCGCAAGACCATGGCTGCAATTCGCACTGCCATCAGCCATATCAACAACTTGATCACCGGTGTTACCAAGGGTTACCGCTACAAGATGAGGTTTGTGTACGCCCATTTCCCCATCAACGCCAGCATTGGTGGTGACAAGGATAACATCGAGATCAGGAATTTTCTGGGCGAGAAGAAGGTATATCCTGCTTTTGATTTGTTCTGTTCTGTGTGGAGGTCTAGGGTTATTAGTTTGCAAGTCAGTTGGTGTACTACAAGTCTAGTGTTTTCTACTCGGAATTGCATTGTTGTAATGCATTGGGAAGCTTCTGATTCCTGCAGTGGTTCACATCGATGCTTCTGTCATAGTGCTGCTTCATTGGAAATCGAACCAGGATTAGACCTCGGTTGGTTTTGGATTCTAGGACTTCTCTTTTTTCGATGAATCGAACGTAGAAGTCAGGCAAGGTTGCTCCGTTTTCTGATTTCATTGTTTGAGGGGAGGGGAGCTGTTTTTCTTATTGTAAGCTTGCATGAGGATGGAAATCCCACTTCTCTTATTTTTCTCTGGTAATGCATGTAGTGGAATATGACTCAGTAGTGGAACACGTTCAGGTCCTGCCGTACGCCTTCTATTTTCTATTTACTTGTCCTTTAAAATAGCTGTTCTTTCCATAACCCTGCGTCTAGCCCTAAGAATATTTTAGCTGTCAAAGGCCAGCTTGTATATGGATTATCGTTTTGATCATTTAAAGTGTCAAGGGATTAGAGCTAAAGCGTTGCATCTTTTTTTCTTTTTCGGGATTGGTTTAGTCTTGGCTTGCACAGAAATGTCCTAATAGTACATTTGTCGTCCATCAGTGTTCTTGCATAGATATCAGTAGGTAGTGGTGGCGGCATTTAATGAATAGCTTTTCGAATCTTCGATCTCTATCGTAGCTTTTCTGCAAGTCGCCAAATTGTTAGTATGCTAGAGGTCTTGGAGAAGATGGTTCATATTATTTTTTTGAAAGTAATTTAAAGTGTCATGTTTAATTTTCTATCGAACAGGGAGATTTACGCAGACTTTCTGTGAAGTGATGATCAACTTGTTCATGTGCACATCGTTTACTGAATATCAATTTGCACAGTACTTAACATGCCTAATTGACCTTGCAGGTACGGAAGGTAGACATGCTTCAAGGTGTGACTGTTACCCGTTCAGAGAAGGTTAAGGATGAGCTGGTTTTAGAAGGAAACGATATTGAGCTTGTATCTCGATCTTGCGCTTTGATCAACCAGGTATAGTGCCTTATTTTCACATGGTGACCTAAATTTTGTCTTTGATATACTTAGTTAAGCGAAACAGACGTAAAATATTTTAAAGATTTGATGCGAGATAACGATGCCATGTGATGGATCTTATTTATCATTATTTAGATACCAGCATGCACAATATTAAATTTCACAATTTTCGTTTTTATTCCAGTTTTTGCTGAACAGACAACCACATGGTTATGTCAACGTGCAACTTACCCGTGTATTTCTCCTTTCAAATTTGACTCAGAAATGCCACGTGAAGAAGAAAGACATCAGGAAGTTTTTGGATGGTGTCTACGTTAGTGACAAGGGAACCATGGATGCGGAGTAAAATCGTGTAATCCATCTCCAAAGGCCACTTCAATCCTCCCTTCAATTTGGGACTTTTGTGCTGAGCATTGCTCTGGAAAGGGTGATTAATGTATTTTATCGAGAATCCTTGCATGCCTTCACTTTTTGTAATGTATGTGTTGTGACGGCATCAACTTTTGTTGTGTGTGTTTTAATGATGACATCCATTTGAGTCCCTTTAAGCCCATCATTAGTAAAGCATCCTAGAGCATCTTTGGATCGTTACCACTGCCGATCCTGTGCGTACGACAGAGATTCTGAAAGGACTTCGGTAGCAGGTCTTGTCCAAGTCCACAGTTCAGCGTAAAAACATTCCTATAACGTGCTAACTATCACACAGCCACGAAATTGTGAGTTTTCCAATTGAAGTTCAATCAACTGGGATACATAGACTTTTGCTAACAACGATGAGAAAGACAATGAAAATAGGACTGACATCGTACACATTGACAATTCCACAGCGGTCTGAGTTTGGAACTGCAACTGTAATACTTTGTCCTGTAAGTCCATTGTCCCCAGTACAAGATACTTTTCTGCTGTGTCAGAACATGATAGATAGCACGACGGTAGACGATGAAGCCATCTTTCCCTTTGTGGACAAGTATATACATGTAGCGTCCTGTACACAACTAGCCCTAGCATGTCAATAGCAACCAGTTAACTATGGTATACTTTACTCGAAACTAGTCATCTAAGACTCACTTTCACCAGTTCATACTTCGCGTACGAAGACACTGCTTTTACCGGACACCTCTTGTTCAGATTCAAACGGAAGAGCGTAAACATCACATGGTGGATATCACCGAAATCCTCCTTAAATTTCGGTGAGTAGAGTATGAAACTATTGCACTTCACTTCAAAACAAGCTTTAGACTCTGACTGCAGCAACCTCCAGACTGACACCTTCACAAAGTCTAACCATTAATTTAAATTATTCTTTTAAAATACTGTAAAATACGTCGATTGCAAGCTTTGAAAAGGATTGTTTTTTGAAATGTACAATGTACAGAGGTATGTAAATGAAAACCCACGTAACAAATTCCAAATAATGCAAGAGTTTGATAAACTTCGAACTCACAAAGACAATGTTCTGCAATGAAAGAGAGTTCACAAGTTCACTGAACCTGAACTGGTAATCATCCACCCTCCTAATAAACAAAATGCCCACGCAATGACCAATCAATCCCCATCCCAATTGAAATCTATCTCACTCACACCAAAGGAATCAAACTCCTTCAGTTCCAAAAAGTAAAAAAATATGAAGATCAAGCTTGATTGAGGAGTACAGAGTAAAGCAGAGGCCCGTTGACAATCTCCAGACCAGGTCAAAGAATGAGCACGATATAGGGGAGAGCTATCCCACGTGGTATCCGACTGGGTGGAACTAATGAGAAGGAGCCGTGACGGAAGATGTGGCGACGCCACCTAGGCGACAAGTGGCACGACAGCCTTACCGCAATGAGGGTTGTCAGGACGGAGGGCGGGAAGACGGGATTTAGGGTTTGAGAGGGAGGCCATCGCCATAGCCATCCTCGCCATAGCCGTGGCCATGGCCAGCCTTGCCGGACAAGAGGAGGGCGGTGCGGAGTAAGTGCATTGGAGGGCGGTGATGCTCATCCAACCGCATAATATCGCTGCCGTCCTTCCACTGCACTGTCGCTTGCCACCCGCCGGCCCCTTCTCGAAGCTCCCCCTACCCCCCCCCCCCCCCCCTTGAATTCAGGCCTCTTGCAAAGTCTTTGTTGCTTAATCCTCAACGTGGTGACCCTACAATTCTACCCCACAAATGCACACAACTGCTACCCTTTTACTCCCGGGATCCTCACTTTCGTGGTGGAAAATTTCCGGGGGTTACTTAC